TATCATCATTAAATTTTGTAGCGTTTTTAAAAATACTGTTTTGTTTTCTTATTGCGTTTATTGTCATCTATACGCGCGTCATCATACAAAAAATAAAACAAAAATGGAAGTTAAATTGATTATGTCGCATTTTGCTAGGAAATCATATCTCCTACAATAAAATTCCATCCTACCAAATTTAATGATGATAGTGGTAATCTAGATCTGACTAAGTTACAAAATACGGCGCGGAATTACTAGATAAAGTAAAAAAGCCACGGCTAAACTGGAAAAAGGTAGTGAAGCCGATACTTTATTAGCCGAACTTAAAGTAGAAGAGAGTGGTAATGGTATTCCTTACCAAGTAGTAAATAGCTATTGGAATCAAGTTCAAGTGGCTATTGCGAGGTTAGAGAAACTAAATCAAGACAAAACTTTAAATGAATTACGAGCTGAACTCAAAGCTGAAGAGGGAAAAACGAAAGGGCTGGAAATGAAAATTAAAAATCAAAAAAAAAAAGTTAAAGAATTAACTGACAAAATATCTGAAAATAATGCTGAAATTAGAAGAGAAGAAGCGCAATTAAAGGCATTGAGAACTTAGTAAAAACTCTGAAAAATAAAATGAACCGATATTTAAATTATTCGAGTAAAAATGAAACTGAGCCAGTCAGTAAAAGTAAACGAATTATATTTGTCATGATTAAGTGATTTTTTTATTTCTGGTTCGTTTTGCTATTGGCTCTTCGTTGGTAGACGCCTTGGTTGTGTCGTCGGTTTTGGTTAGTTGGTCTTTTTTTCTTTTGATGGTAGATCGGGCGATTTCTGTTACTTTTGTTGGTGTTTGAGTGTTGTCGTTGATTCTTTTTTGACTGTTGTAGTTGGTTGTTCGATTTGTATAGTTTGGTGGACAGCAGCTATTCTGCTTTGAGTGGTAGATTGAATTTTTTTGCTTTTACTTTCGCTGTTGTTTGTTTTCCAGGGAATATTACTCGGTGTTGTAAGTTCAGATTTGGCACTGACAAATTGTATCTCTATGACGTCGCAATATACTTGTCCTTCTATTACGTATAATTCGCCATTACAGTGTATCGTAGAGTATTTTCTTGCCGCTGTAAATGTATTTTTGA